TACAAATTTCCCTCTTAGTACTGCTTTTGCTGCCTCCCAAAAGAGTTAGTATGTTGTTTTCATTTTCATTTGTCTCCAGGTATCTTTTCATTTCTCCTTTGATTTCTTCCTTGATCCCATGGTTGTTGAGTAGCATGTTGTTTAGTTTCCACATATTTGTGACCTTCCCAGCATTTTTCTTGTAATTGATTTGTAGTTTCATAGCATTATGGTCTGAAAAGATGCTTGATATGATTTCAATGTTATTAACTTTATTGAGGTGGCCTTGTTCCCCAACATATGGTCTATTTTTGAGAGTCTTCCACGTGCACTTGAAAAGAATGTGTATTCTGTGGTTTTTGATGAAATGTTCTCTATATATCTATTAAGTCCATCTGGTCTAGTGTTTAAGGCTACTGTTTCCTTGTTGACTTTTTGTGTGCATGATCTATCCACTGATGTAAGTGGGGTGTTGAGGTCCCCTACTATTATTGCATTGCTATAAATTTCTCCCTTTAGGTCTGTTATTAGTTGCTTTATTTACTTTGGTCCTCCTGTGTTACGTGCATATATATTCATAAGTCTAGTGTCCTCTTGGTAGAATGTCCCTTTTATCATTACATACTGCTGCTTCTTGTCTTTCATTACCTTTTTTATCTTGAAGTATGCTGTGTCTAAGTGTAGCTACACCTGCTGTCTTTTGCTTGGAGTATCATTTTCCAATCCTTCAATCTGAGTCATATATTTGTCTTTAGAGCTGAGATTTGTTTCCTGAAGGCAGTGTATTGGTTTTTTAATCCATCCAGCCATTTGGTGTCTTTTGATTGGTGAATTTAATTCATTTACATTTAGAGTGATTATTGATAGATGATGGCTTAATACTGCCATTTTATCTGTTGTTTTCCAGTTGTTCTCTATTTTAAGTTTCTTTTATATTTCTCACTGCCTTTTCAGTTTGGTGGTTTTCTGTGATGGCTTCCTCTTTATTTTTGATTTGTGACTCTGCTCTGATTTTTTGTTTAGTGGTTACCATGAAGTCTGTATAAAAGATCTCACAAATGAGATAGTCCAGTTTACGATAACCTCTTATCTCTGTTAACCTAAGCAGGTTTCATCCCTTTCCTCTTCCCTTGAAGTATTTCTTATAAGGCAGATCTAGTTTGTAATGAACTCCCTCAGCTTTTTTTTTAAATCTGGGAATATCTTAATTTCTCCATTTTTGTAGGACAGATTTGACAAAGAATTCTCAACTGACATTTTTTTTTCTTTTAGCACTATAAGTCTATTATTACACCACCTTCAGGCCTCCTAGGTTTCTGCTGAGACATCCGCAGATATCTTATTCAGGATCCCTTGTACAAGTCAATTTTCTTTTGCTGCTTTTAAGATTGTTGCTTTGTCATTGGCTTTCAAGAGTTTGATTATAATGTGTCTCAGTGTTGTTCTCTTTGAGTTTACCCTACTTGGAATTTTTTAAGCTTCTGGAGTTTGTAGATCCATACCTTCAAATTAGGGAAATTATTGACCATCATTATTTCAAATGATTTCTTGGCAACTTCCTTTCTTCCTCAGGGATTCATATAATGTGTATCCTAGACTGCTTAATGGTGTCCTGTAAGTCCCTCTGGCTCTGTTCACTTTTCTTCTTTATCTTTTTGCTCCTCAGACTTTATAATTTCAAATGACCTGTCTTCAAGTTTAGTGACATCTGCCTATTCAAGCCTGCTGTTGAACCCCTTTAGTGCATTGTTTTGATTCAGTTAGTCATGCATTGCTTAACGATATGTTCTGCGAAATGTGTTGTTAGATGATCTCATTGTTGTGCCAACATCATAGAGTATACTTACACAAACATAGGTGGTATAGCCTACTACACACCTAGGCTATATGGTACTAATCTTAAGGAACCATCATCCTATATGTGATCTGTCATTGACCAAAATATCATTATGCAGCATGTAACTGTATTGTATTTTTCAGCTCCAGAAATTTGTTTGTTCTTTTCAAAGTAATTTTTATCCTCTTATTGATATTCTCATTCTGTTTATATGTTGTTTCCTGGCTTTTAGTCCTTTGTCCAAGTTTTCCTTTAGCTCTTTGAGCACATTTAAGATAGATGTTTTAAAGTCTTTGTTTAGTTCATCCAGTGTCTTGTTTCTTCAGGGATGGTTTCTTTCACTTTATTTTCTCCCTTTGAATGGGTCATATTTTCTTATTTGTTTGTATGCTTTGTGATTTCTCCTTTTGGTTGAAAATTAGATACTTGAAAAAAGTCACCTCTCCTAGTCTTTCCAGACTGGCTCCATGCTGAGGAAGACCTTCGGTAATTAGCAGGGCACGTTCTGATCCTTGGGATCAGCCTGGGGTGGTGGCTTAAGGTCTTTTCTTGACTTGCTCCAGCCTGTGTTTGTGCTTTTTTTCATCTCCCCATACACACGGCTGCTTTTAAATGTCTTAATTTTCCAGAAGTCTCACCCCAGCCTGTTTTCAGAGTCTTCCACTACCTGTAATCTCTTGCCTCTGGTATCTGCAAGTCTGTAGTCGCCCTGCAACTTTAACAAGTAGTGTCTGATGCTTCTCAGGGCTTTTTCCAGGTGTTTTATTTTCCCTATCTGAGCTCTGAGTTAGGTGAAACACAGCTGTCCTTCAGGCACCTTCCAAACAGATTAGAACATTACAAACAAGGTCTGCTCTGCTCCCTCTGGTTCAAGAGAGGGAACTGGGCAGCTAATTCCTCCCAGCTGTGCAGCACCAGGTTTGGGTGGGTCAAGAGTAAGTAAAACCACCAAGTAATTTCCTACCATTTTTGACATGGCTTTTTCTTGACTGGGCATTAACTTGGTTACTGTAAACCTTAGCCTGTTTTCCAGACCTCTATAACGTTATTTTACCCAAGCCCTAGTTGTTTCTTTCACATTTGTTGTGGGTGAACAAGGGCCTGGAGTTTCCTAGTCTGCTATCTTCCTCTCAAACTTATGTTCCTCAGTGTCTGATACCAACAAGACCTAAGTGGTTCTTAAACATTAAGTGGTCTTAAAACTAGAGGAAATGTTGTCCGAATCTATCACGCTAAGGACAGAATGCTAAAATTTGAGCATGTTGATTCCTTGATACATTATTTGTAACGCTAAACAATTATTCTGAATTGCTTATCCCATTATGCTAAGACTTTATAAAGTCTGCTCTCGCTACCCCAATCAATCCAAACCACAGATATAAAACTCTCTCAGTGCTCTTAGAAATGTAGAATCAGAGGCTGACCCAGTGGCGCAGCGATTAAGTTTGCACATTCCACTTCCGCAGCCTGGGGTTCACCAGTTCAGATCCTGGATGTGGACATGGCACCACTTGGCAAGCTATGCTGTGGCAGGTGTCCCACATATAAAGTAGAGGAAGATGGGCACAGACATTAGTTCAAGGCCAATCTTCCTCAGCAAAAACAGGAGGATTGGCAGCAGATGTTAGCTCAGGGCTAATCTTCCTAAAAAAAAAATTGTAGAATCGAACAATTTGTACTGTTTTAGAGCAATGCTATTTAAACCTGGTTCTCATTGAGATAAGGAGTTTGGACCACAATGTAAATAACACATAGCTTTCTTCGTCTTGAAAATCTTGCTATGAAAACAGTCAACTGAACAAAACCATGCACTTGTTGATTATTTACATTTTGATGTAATCTCCTTATCTCATTGTGTTCCAATAACAACCCCCATGTTTTATTATACAGATTTCAAAGGATAAGACTGATATCTGTTATCAGAAGTTAACTATTATGCAGTTATTTTAAATAATATGAATTAACCCAATATATCCAAACCTATACAAAATCTACGTTGCATTGGAGTTTCATTACATTTATGGCTTTAAGGAGGTATTACAATAATAATTCTGGCTCTTTGCGGGATTCTTTAGTTAACCCCATGTTGGTGATAGATACTGGTGATAACTCCATACTTAAAGTTAATGAATGATGAAACTTCCAGTCTTGAAGGATAGGCACTTAGGGTTGATGAAGAAACCAGTTTCCATGATAGTTCTAGCCCTTACTTATTTTAAAGTTCACCATAAAAGAAGAAAAAAAGGATTGCAATGACCACTGGACCTAAAGATTTACACTGGAATATTTTTCTCCTTTTCATTTGTAAAGAAAGATAGTTGGTAATGATGAAATTTGGGAGGGTTCTGTAAGATCTAACACTGAAGAGAGTTTATTAACTCCCACATGGGGTTTGGGGTTGAATATAATGAGGAAGTTTGTAAGATATGGAATTTGCCATTTCCTTCTGAAATAGATATTTTTATTCTACTTGTTAAAATGCAGTTTCCATCCTTTGAACCCCCATTTTATTTCTACACTTTTGAATTTATGTCGCTTCCATCTAAAAAAGGGGTTTTAAAAATAATCTATGGTCACAAAAATCTTAGTAGATTAAAGTACTGAACTTAATTCTCAACATTTCTTATTAAAATACTTGTGATGGACAAAGGGTAGTTGGGAAAAAAGAATTGTATTTGATTTTTTTAAAAATTGGTAAAGGTAATACCTTCATTCCCAGAGTATTAACCAAATTCTTCCTTAAATATTTAAATACTGCATAAAGGATAAACAGCCCTGTATGAATTAGAATTCAGCATAGGAAATGTAAAAAGTTAGTCTAAAGGGTCATTTAACATATTTCATTACGGTCACAGCTTTAAACTATCACACCATATTTCTGAATAAGAGAAAGTCTCTTTGAATAAGAGTAAGTACCATTACTGTCATAACTATTGTCATAACCTATGGGTTACTGTCATAACCCATAGTAAGGTTGTAGAGCTCCCTTTGAAGGAAATATATTTTGATTACTCAGAGAGCCTAAATTTTTCTACCATAACAATGTGATGTTAGAGTGAATGAAAATTAAGAGGATAAACCTAAGTCCTACATACTAAAGAAATAACATAAACAGAAATAACCTGTTACTGCTATAGCATGCATTCACATTCAAATATGAAAAATACCACACAGAAAACAGGAACATTTTTTAAAAAGATTTAAGATCATAAATAGGTCATTGTTGTCACAACATATTTCAGAATTGAAAAAACAAACATTTTGGCTTTTTAGGAAAAAATTTCCTTTTTTTTTTATCATTTCCCTCATCATTGAAAGGACTTCTACATTTTAAAATTTCCAGTCTCGTAAGGCACGATATTTATTTCATCAGAATGCTAATATCACCACCCCGCTGTAGCAGGAATAAGAGGCAAGGTATTAGCACTAGGAAAAACAGCAAATTTTATGGACAAAATCATCAGTCACTCAAGAACAAGGAGAAAGACTAAGTGATGATCATTTTAGTTAGAAAGCCCAGTGTGGTTATGCAGGACTTTATGTTACAAAAATTGTTTTAATCAAAGTATTTTAACTCAAACAGATTTAGTTCACCACAGAGGAGCTATGAGAGAAGGCGGTTGGTAAAATACTTTATACTTCTTTAAAAAGGACTTTGGAAGAAAAAAATCAACTTAGAATAGCTTATGGAGGGGCAAACATCATATGGAAACCAGATTAGAGGCCCAGTTTATTCCTAGTCTTCAGGCACATCCAGAAAACAAGGAGTGAGACTAGGTAAACATAACACTTACACAGACAGTATAAGCAGATGCTGAAATTGTATTTCTTATCCAACCAAAAAGTTCTTTAAAATATAACATAAATGCAAACATTCTTCATTTTTAACTCTGCCTTGCTTTGTCCTCTGTGATACCAACTGAACTTTAAGGTTTTATATGTACAATATGATGATTTATGTCACTTTTTAAAGAAAAAAAACCCACAAAGTTAGTGACTGTCCACAGATGAAACACTGGATGAGGTTCATGACTGAATCAATCACGGAGTGTTAGTCAATTGTAAACTCTTGAAAGTTAAGACTGGGAAATATGTGTATCAGACACATTAGAGTACAACAGGAGAGGAAGGGAAGCCTATTCGTCATTCCAATTCTGACAAGGTGCAAGGTCTTCGAAATTCTTGTCCACGTTCATGGAGCCATTTATTGGATACTATGAGAGAAAAAAATATATTAATTTTCCCCAATATCTAACTAGCATTTAATTAACTTCTAAAAGCTAAGGCTATAACAAAGTTTCTACATGCGTTAAAAGTTCAAAACCAAAACCAGATAAAGGCAGATGCTACTTATGCAGTCTTTTAAAAACTTCACTATATGTTGGAAACACAGAAGATTTTATATATATGTATGTACATTTAAGAGTCTATGTATGTGCATTTCCTAAAGTTTCTAATGTTCAATGTAAGGATTGAAGTGAAACACAAAGGAAATTAAGATGTAGGAACAGATAGAACAGAACTTTGTTTTTACCAGTTTGCAAAATACAACCTCTAATACAAAGGCTTAAAAATGAACACAAAGTCTCCACTCTAAAAGAGCAATTCTATGATAAATCACTACTACTATGTGTTCATTAAGTTTCCTTGGTTCCAAGATACTGGTTTTAAATGTACCCCAAAAGAAATTAATTTTATACTCCTTCTGCTGTTTCATAGAACCCAATCAATGGCATGAAATATGTACAAAATATCTAAACTCGGACCCATAGTAATTCTTAACTACTCTCTTACTTCTCTCAACCCCTGCATCCAATGTTTTATTCATCAAACTCTGTCAATTTTCCTAATCTATTTTTTGAATCTATTCTTTGCTCTTCAACCCATTTGCTGCTGCCATAGTCCAAGCTTTCGTCGTCACCCACTTAAAACAGCCTTCTAAACTGATCTCTCCTCCAGCAGCCTCTCTTCATTCTAGTCCAGTGGTTCTCAAACATAATCATCAGGGGAGATCTTCTAAATCCTGATGATCAGGTCTTACTCCTTAATCGTGCTATGTCTAATACAGTGACCACTAGACACACAACACTACCGAGCACTTGAAATATGGCTAGTGACACATATTGAAATGGATATATGGGGTTAAATAATATACATTAAAATAACTTCACCTGTTTCCTTTTTTTTAATGTGGCCAATGCTTGCACCTGCATGAGAGTGAATGTCTCTCTAGCCCTGCAGTGGTCCTGGCCCTGGTCCCTCACATGCCTGGAAAACTACTGTTATATCTTCAGGACAAAATTTAAAAATTAAGCTTTGAAGAAACCTCCCCAAATGTAAGGAGTCACCATCTTCTGTTTACATCTTTGTATTAGTATGTACTAGACTATACTCTAATGTATCCATTAGTATGTCTCAGAGATATACTAATACTCAGAGACAATTGTGAACCCCTTGAGAAGATATTGACTTATTCAATATTAAGTCAATTAATGTTTCCTATAATAACAGGTGGAAATAGTGTTAAAAGTAAAATCTGTCATCAAAATTCTGATCTGTTGAAAGCAAATTTAAATTAAGATCCTGAAACTTGCTTGGTTGAATGTCAAAGTTATAGGCAAATCAGGAGTTTTGTTTTCATTTTCTTTTAAGATGTAGATTAATTTCAAAATATAAGACAAAAATCACAAATTCTATTCAGACAATATAGGAAATATTTACCCCATTTGTTTCCTACTAGCACTGGACAGGCTGCATGCCGTGTACTATAATCTCCTTCTCCACTGGCAAATAGATTATACCAGAAAACAGCAGTTCCCTGTAGAGAACAATCAAAATTTGTTCTTGTTAGTGCTGTCCAGTCAATTCCAATTCCTAGCAACCATGTGTACAGCAGAATGGAACCCTGCCTGGTGTTTTTGTGCCATTTTCTCACCCTCTGCTGCTGTATCAGATAATGCTATGCTGCTATTCACAGGGTTTTCGTGGCCAATTTTTCAGAAGTGGTGGCCAGCTCCTCCTTCCTAGTCTTCTTAGTGTGGAAGCTCAGCTGAAACCTGTCAAACATGGGTGACCCTACTGGTATTTGAAATACGACTGGCATAGTTTTCAGCATCACAGCAACATGCAGCTACCACAGTATGACAACCGACAGACGGGTGTTGTGGTTCCCTGACAAACCTTAACCAAATCTTAACCACTAGACCACCAAGGCTGGCTGAATGCAAAATTATTCCCAAATAAAACATCATGTCATTACTTTTTGCAGTAATTATATTTTCCTCTGTTCCTGTGGAACTACTACTCTATGGAAGCGTTATATCTACCTCTAATATAACTCACAAAATTTTGGTGATCACATGAAAACATTAATACCACAAAGTTGCTTGACAAAAAAAGGGTATTTGCCAAAACAAACCTAACGAATTTTACAATAGTAAGTTGGGGGGCAAACATCATATGGAACCCATTTCAGAAATAAAAATTTTAAATACTAATCCCTGGTTGTTCATCACCTCTAGGTACTCATGGTAAACTGCACCATAAAGATATCCAAAATTTTACCTAAGGATAATGTAGTCCTTAAGTATACTACTTTAAAAAATGTAATTCATTAATTAAACCATGAAATAAAGACGCATCTCTTCCTCAGGGAAAAATATAAAGAGAACAAAAAAATTAAAACAACAAACAAACCAAGTTTACCTTTTTGGGCCAAACACTAGCTCCTACTTCAGGAAAAACAGTGGCTCCTCCTGCTGACACATCACTCATCTGTAAGAGATGAGAGAGTATTATCAAAAGTGCTGGTAGAATCAAGTTAAACATGCTATTGTGGGGGAGGATATGATATTGAATGCTAGAATATAAGAACATCTGGATATCTATTGAGATGAATTTGCGCATACTACTCAGTTTTTTAAAAAAAACCAAGATGCTGTTTAGGTTTACATTACTTAAGTAAAAGAAAAAACAGGCGAAGGAATGATAAAATCAGGAAGAGAGATGAGGATATAATTTTGGATAGGCACTTCTTTTATAGCCAGAGGTAAAAAGAGATGATTTAAAACTGATAAATCAAACAATATTGGGGTATAAATAAGATTGCACTAGAAAATAATCTCCATGGAGGCAGAAATTTTCACGTTTTGTTCATTGCCGAGCTTTAATGTCTAGAATAGCACCTCAAGAACAGCAGGTACTCAAATATTTACATAAATGAATTTCTCACCAAGAGAAAAATAAACTAAAATCAGTTTTGTAATTTCTCATGGTAGGAAATCAACACATATTAGCTGAAAATTAGATTATAGGATTACGTGAAGTTATAAAGGCAACCTGGAACAAAACAATAACCTTTCCAATTTAACTGAAGAAGCACATGCACAAAACGAGGCAGAGGAAACACAGATCATATAATCAAGATTTCTTCTAAAGCAACACAACTAGACTGTGTAGACAGACGCGGATTGCGTCACAAAGCAAACCCGAACTGTGCGCCAGTCCACGAGCCACACTAGACAAGGGCTCACAGACAGCAGACACAGACAGGCAAGACCCACCAGGCAAATGGACACCAAAGAAAAGAGTCTGACCTTAACATCAGACGTGGTTTAAATCAAGGTAAAAAGCATTAAGTGAAAAAACAAGGGTATTTTATAACGATAAGGACATAATCAGTTACAAAGATGTAATAGCCCTTAAGCAATGAAAAAACAAACTTTGGAGAAATTAAAAGGAAATTCTAGGAATAGTATTTCCCAAGAGAAAAAATGAATACTAATCTAATCAAAATGTTATTTAACTCGGGGAGGACATAATCAAATAATCTAACATATAATCCCATATAAATACATACAGAGACGATTATATATACATATGATAGATGACTAAATAGTCCATACACCAAAATAAATAATGATTGTCTCCAAATAGTAGGACTAGCAGTAATTTTAAATTTCTTCTTCAAGTTATAATATTACTATCTGAAAAAGTGACAAATGCAAAAAAAAATTCTTAACTCCCTTTACTCAGTTGTAAAGACTTTGAACTAGGATGTGAAATAAGACTAAGCAGAGCAAACATCTGAACTCATCAAAATAAATATCATGCGGTCACGTCCCAACTTAAAAATTTTAGCTATAACTTACATAAAACAGCCATGTAGCAATTCTATTTCCTGTCCCCAGCTCTTTGAAAGCATCTGGCTCATCTTTCTGTAAATAAAACACAACTAATTCAATGGTGTAAAATTCAGTACTGCAAATTCTCCAGCAGCAACTAAATATCAGTAATATGTCAAAGGGTATGCCAAAAACAACCCCAAAAGGGAATATAATGTCCAGTGCACTATATACAGCAGGCACTCAAATATTTGTTGGTTGTTGATTCAGCTTGTACACCAAATATTTCTAAGACCATTTGTGTGTGGCGGGGACAGGGGTGTGTCAGATTTATTAGCCTATATAATGAGAAACAATATCTACTTTCTACCAATTACTTTAAAAATTAATACCTATAGTTTTAGTTTCAAAAAAAACCAAGAGACATGAGAGCCTCTTAGCTACATTCGTGAAGTCTATTCTCTATAAGTAAAAACTTTACCTTGAGATTTACTTTGAACTCATGATCTATTCAAATGTTTACTGCTACTATGATTGTCTTTCTTTTGGACAGTCAGCACTTTAGTCTGGCTAGAGAATTCACATCTGGCTATTTAAATCTAAATAAAAATACAGAATAGTCTCTTGGCATTTATGCTCCCACAATGAAAATGCATGTTTTACACAGAAATTTATACACATCTTTATTTCTAATAACCCCAAACTGGAAACTATCCTAATGTCCTTCAATGGGTGAATGACTAAACGAACTGTGGTGCATCCATTCCACGGAATATCATTCAGCAATAAAAAGGAACACACTATTGATACATTCTGTAATAAATCAGATGAACTTAAACGGAACTATGTTGAGTGAAAAGAGACAATCTCAAAAGGATACATACTGTTTATAATATTCATATAGCATTTTTGAAATAACAATTACAGAGAAGAACAGATTAGTGGTTACCAGTAGTTTGGGATGGAAGGCAGAAGGGTGTATGCAGCTATAGAGATATACTACAAGCTTGCAGCAATGATGCAGTTATGTATCTTGATTGCGGTGGTAGTTACACAAAGCTACACGTGGAATAAAATTGCAGAGACACACACAAATGAGCGCAAGGGTAACTCGTGAAATAAGAATAAGTTCTGTGGCTTGTATCAATGCCAGTTTCCTTGTTTTGACAGTGTACTATAGTTATGCAAGATGTTAACACTGGGGGAGACTGAATGAAGAGTGCATGGGACCTCTCTACATTTCTTTGAAACTTCATAGGAAACCATAATTATTTCAAAATAAAAAGCTAAGGAAAATAAATTTAGTTACACTAATGTCAAGGCCTGAACTGTAGTCTTTCACGTCATCCAAGATCCTCAGACATTTTTAGTAAATGAAAATAGAAGGAAAAGAAACTGAAAATAGATTCCTTGCTGGCCTACATACAAAAAGAGTTTAGGATTCTGAGATTCAGTCAGTCAAGAGCTATACACAATACAGACTATATTTTCTTTCAAAAGAATATACCCTTATTTAAAAATGGTAATAGATCAAGAAATTTACTAAAATACCTGACACATTCCTTAGAATTCATGCAATTATGATAAAGCTTAAATTAAGCCTTGGTAATGCCATAATTTATAGCTCAATATGTTAAAGAAACAAAAATGGTCCAATATTTATTAATCTTAAACAAGAGTACTTGGGTAAGGACAGCTTTTTAATAAACCATTTCGGTATTATTTATTCTCCAACGTGTTTACATCTATTTTATATTTATCTTCCTGTCTCTCAAAATTTATTCTTGTAATTTCTTCAGATTTTCAGCCAATTCACTAATTCACTTGAGCTCTCTCTAATGTGTCTTAATTTACTGTTAAATTTTAAATTTCAACAATTACTTTTTTCTACCGAGAGCTTCTATTTTTCAAATATGTTACATCATTTGAGAGTTTGTTAATGTTTACTCTATCTTTTATTTTTTAAACATTTTGTTGTTTTATATTCTGTATCTGATAGCTCGAGTCTCTAACATCCTGGCAGGTCTAAATCTGGTGGTTGCTTCAGTCTCACCAATGGTGTTTTATTAACAATTAGTAGTTTTTTTTAAATGAGTTCATATTGAGTTAAACAATCTTTAAACTTCCTGAAGTGCTAGAATGAGGATGCTTCTGTTCAGGGAGGATATGAGTTTGTTTCTGCCAGGTATCAAGGAGCACTACTAAACTGAACAACTTTAAATTAATTTCTCCTCTTCCAGGGTAGTAAAAATTCAAATTCAACATTCATGAGAGGGCAGGCCTATGCTTTCCAGCTCCCAGAAGACGCTGCCCATACATCCCACAAGTTGAGAGGCAACTCTCCTTAAACAGATTATTTTCCAAGTCTCCTGACTCAAAGCAGATGATTTTTGAGGCCAGTCTTTCTTTTTCTAAAGGTGTTATCCTTTTGGAGATTTAGGTTTTACACAGGGGTCTCAGGTTCAGTAGCCTGCACTGCGGCAGGTCCTCTCACAGAGCAGTTAATCTCCAGAACTCTAGATTCCTGAAGGTACATGCCTCCAGCCTCAGCTTTCTTGCCCCCTTTTAAGTCTGTAACTTTAGTCTCTAGGTTTTCTTTGTTCAGCCTGCTTTTGAGAATTTCCTTTACTTTCTTCCAGGCTCAGCAATGCATTTAAAATTCTTTTACTGTGTGTCTAGGTGTTTTTTTACTGCTAAAAAAGCTTTACAGAGTCTCTCTTCCACCATGCTTCCACACGAATTCCAAATAGGCCAGGAATTTTTAATACTAAAAGAACAGAATTAAAAAGTTATGTCTAAGCTTCACTGGAACTGCTACATTCTCCATTTTTTTACTTACCCGTGCAAAATCAAAATGGGGTTCATACTGTCCTCCAACTCCATAATTTGCTACCTGAAGGAGAGTAATAAAGCATGAATGAAAAAACTATCAAGATTACTATTCAAAAAAATCTATGAGCCCATTTTGGCCTCTTATATTATCATGCGTAGGTACTTCTAGAGAAATGAGAAGCAAAGCATTTTAAATCAATGAGAGTTCCTAAGGAACCAAGGATGAAAAATTAAGGATAGCTACTACACGCTATTTTAGAACCTTAGTTAGTATGCTCTTCTTTAGCAAACTTTTGGGGGACACATTTTTCCCTAATACATAACTTAAACTAAAATTTAAATTAGAATTTTAGAATTGAGATTTTCTAGAATTAGAATTTTGAGATTTCTATTATTAATTTTCACTAAAAACTTTGGAATTTAAATCAAGACTCATGTTTTTCAAAGCTCAAAATTCTGGCAAACTCCCAATCTACTTTAATAAAATCCTGATTTTCCTACATATTTTTTTCCCTACTAAGGCAAAAAAGGGGATAAGTTAACGCCAACTTAATTATTTCTGCTGGAGGGCCCTAACAACTTCAGTTGGCTATGACAACGTCCCAGTGCGAAGCAGCAAAAGAAAGTAAGAAAAATATTTGTTCTGAGTTCAAGTTCCAGCTTTCTTAGTCATAATATATGTAACTCTGGATACAATCGCTGTTTTCTTATTTATAATATAAAGAAATCGATACCTTCCTTAACTCCCTCCTTCCATCCCAACATGACAAAATGCTGACAAAATGAAAGGAGAATGTAAAGAGCACTGCTGATGAAATGAAAGGAGAACATAATTAAAAGAGTAATTGCCCACAGCAAAGTCCAAGTCCTATGTAAATTATTATTACTCTGGATATTTTACTTCTTTTTTTTTTGGTTTTTTTGTTTGTTTGTTTGTTTGTTTGAGGAAGATTAGCCCTGACCTAACATCTGCTGCCAATTCTCCCCCTTTTGCTGAGGAAGACTGGTCCTGAGCTAACATCCGTGCCCATCTTCCTCTACTTTATATGTGGGACACCTGCCACAGCATGGCTTGCCAAGCAATGCCATGTCCGCACCCGGGATCCGAACCGGTGAACCCCAGGCTGCCGAAGCGGAACATGCAAACTTAACTGCTGCGCCATTGGGCCAGCCCCTGGATATTTTATTTCTGATGGATCAGCCTATTAAGTAGAAATACATAAAGTAGCCTGAAAGAGCCTGTGATGGTTAAGCAGGTGAGAATAAATACAGATTAGGAAACAAAAAGACACATCAAAGAGTTTTTAATAATAAAATGAATACCAAGGAAGCTGTAGATTACCATGGAACAAATGACAACTTCATTAAGCAAATTTAAATATAGGCAGTCCTGCCTTGCACTGTTCCAAAATGCACAAATCTCAGATACTATAGTTTAGCTAACAATTAACATACCAGACCCCCAAAAACACAGTTGAAATTTCAGTTACCATGCGCATATTAACTGTGAGTAATTGCATAAAGTATAAATGTCACTGCTGGGTCTTCAGTCCACAAATTACTATGTAAATACCAGCTGCACATCATGATCAATGACCAGTCACATCACTTCTTTCAAAGTCTGTCAGTGACTGATCACTGCACATCTGTATTCAGTTCAGGCTCAAGCAGCAAAGCATGTAGTTGTATTGCCTCCTTACCTCCCAGTGAAAATCCGTATGATATTTTACAAAAATGGATAGTTGGAAGAGGGAATTGGCCAACAAAGATAAAGTACAGCAGAGAAATGGAAAATGATAATGTTATAGTGAAATTCAAATCAAACTTAAGTGGAGATATATATAGAAGAAATAGCTGAAAAGGGGAATGCTTTCACTTTTGCTGTTCAAGATACTCTAGATATGCAGCAGAGGGACTTGGGGGAGGCAAATTCATTAACATAAGGAAAGTGATTATAATGAAAAGAATGAAGATGTCCTGAAGGAAGTGACGTTAGAAAAAAATTTTCACAATAAAAGATCCCTCAGGTATATTTAACTACATTGAACGTACAAAGGATAAAATGCTGAAAGCTGATACAAACTTAAAAGTATGACAATTTGCAAAGGCAGAGAAAAGATGCTCACTCTGTATCATGTTTCATGATGAGAAAGAGGAAAGTAATGTTTAAACTATTCTTGATAAATGTTTACAAAAAAATAAAATGCTTTCTCAACAGTTCTAATGTTTTAAATTACCAAGACAACTGCTAAGAAAATTTACCAGAGAGGAATAGTTTTTTCAACAAATGATGCTGGGACAATTGGATATCCATATGAAAAGAATGAAGCTGAACCAGTAACCTCATACCATATACAAAAATTGACTCAAAATGGATCAAAGGCCTGAATGTAAGAGATAAAACTATAAAATACATAGAAAAAAATACAAGTGTAAATCTTTGCGACTTTGGATTAGGCAATGGTTTCTTAGACAGCTAAAGCACAAACAATAATAACAACAACAAAATATCAGACTTCACCAAAATTTAAAAATTTGTGCCAAAGGACATCATCAAGAAAGTGAAAGACAACCCACACAATGGGAGAAAATATTTGCAAACCATATATCTGATAAAGGTCTAGTATCTAGAACATATAAAGAACATTTTTAACAATAAAAAGACAACCTAATTAGGATTTGAACAGAAACTTTTTCAAAGAAGATATATAAATGGTCAACAGGCACTTGAAAAGATGTTCATCGTCAGCTATCAGGGAAATGCAAATGAAAACCATAATGAGATGGCACTTTAAACTCAGTAGATTGTCTATAATTTAAAAAAATGGACAAGAAAAAGTATTGGCAAGGATGTAAAGAAACTGGGATCCTCATACATTGTAATGGGATTGTAGTATCATGCAGCTATTTTGGAAAACAGTTGGCAGTTTCTCAAATTTTAAACTGAAGTTACTACATGACCCAGCAATTCCATTGGTAGGTATATACTCAAGAGAAATGTAAATGTTTGTACAAAAACTTGTACACAAATGTTCATAGCAGCATTAGTCATAATAGCCAAAAGTGGAAACAACCCAAATGTCCTTCAACTGATAAATAGATAAAATGTGGTATATCCAAATACTAGAATATTCTTCAGCCATGAAAAGGAATAAAGTGCTAATACATGCTATAACACGAATATACCTTGAAAACATTATGTTAAGTGAAATAAGCCAGATACAATAGGCCACATATTATATTATTCCATTTATAGGAAAAATCTAGAATAGGCAAATTCATAGACAGAAAGTAGATGGGGATGGGGAATGGAGAGTGAATACTTAAAGTATATGGTGTTTCTTTTGAGGGTGATGAAATGTTCTACAATTAGATAGTGATGATGGTTGCACAACGATGTGAATATAATAAAATCAGGGTAAATTTTATGCTTTGTGAATTATATCTCAACACAAAAGAGGAAAAGAAATTATTAAAAAAAAAAATTGCCCCAATCGCCTGACAGACCTAAGAATGAAAAAAAATTACAGGGTACTTAATAAACATTAGTGTTACATATTTTTCATTTCCCTATAAATTTATACTTGATAGTAAGAGTTTTTAATGTTTTGACAAAAATGTTAAAGGTCAAAGAACAATCATGATTTTTCCCATTAAGATCACTTTGAATGGTTTTAGCCTGCATATTCACTTTTACAGTCCCACACCATCACGAAAATTGAGTACTGCCTGTAAAGTGTTAGGAAATCACATCTGAAGCATCTTTTGAGGAAGTATAAAGATAATTTAAGAATAATGTGATAGCATATAATTTAAGGATAATGTGATTACTTACCTGTAATTCTTCTGCTGTGGAAACATCTAATCCTGTTAGATCTTGTATTCTCATATTAATTCGAGACACCACAGGGTTTTCATAGCCAGAGAGCCAGGCACTAAGAACAAGAAGAAAATATTAGTTTTGCTGATAATGTTTTAATACATGAAGACCAACAGCTGTCATTTAAAAAGCCATAATATATGAGACAGTAAGCCTTTATCTATAGGCATTTACTTGATTTGCTTATTTGATATGTTTTTTACTAATGAATGCTGTAAAAGATGTTACATTCTACAATTAGAGGTTGCAAAGGAACAAACTAGTCTCATTTATTACAGTTTCTATGAAAACAGTTGGATTAATGTAAGAAGGCTATCTAGGCTATCTACCTTGAGAATTTTTTTAAATTCTGGAAAAATATACACCAAATTGAAAACAATTGTTCCTTCTAGGTAAGGTATAGGAACTGAGAGGTCATAGGGTTTTTAGCCTGATTTATATAACGCTAATATTTTATAAGAAAAAAAAAATCCGCGTATTACTTGCATGAGAAAGTTTTTAAAGGGTAACCAAACACCCTCAGTAGGCTGGCTATAATAAAAAAGATGGACAACAACAACTGTTGGCGAGGATGTGAAGAAGTTAGAACCCTCATACGTTGCTGGTAGGAAAGTCAAATGACGCAGCCACTGTGGAAATCAGTTTGGCAGTTCATCAAATTGTTAAACACAGACTTACCATACGACCCAGCAATTCCACTCTGAGGTATATTCCCCAGAGAAATTAAAATCTATGTTCATACAAAAACTTGTACACAAATGTTCATAGCAGCATTATGAATAATAGCCAAAAAGTGGAAATAATCCAAATGTCCGTCAACTGATGAATAGATACATAAAATGTGATATATCCATCTGCTGGACTATTGTGCCATGAAAAGGAATGAAGTACTGATACATGCCACAACATGGATGAACCTTGAAAACATGTTAAGTAAGATAAGCAAGATATAAAAGGCCACATATTATGATTCCATTTATACGAAATGTCCACAATAGGCAAATCAATAGATAAAGAAAGTAGATTAGTGGTTGCCAGGGGAAGGAGGGAATGGAGAATGACTCCTAATGACTACAGGATATCTTTTTGGGATGATGAAAATGCTCTGGAATTAGATACTGGTGATGGTTACACAACCAAAAAAGACTAAAAACCACTTAACTGTATACTTTAAAAGGGTGAATTTTATAGTATGGGAACTATAGCTCAATAAAAAAAGGTACCCCCAAACCCAACTATCTCCTTTACATATGCTTTTCCCAGTCTATCAGCCTTTTTCTTTCCTCACTTCTCTCATCAAGTTTTGATTCCATGATCCATCATTTCGACAACATTCTTGCTAAAAGCCTAAATTCAGCTATCTTGGCAAAAATACAATCCTGAATCAATTCTTCTCCAAGCTTATATCTGTGTCACCAAACCATACTGGAGAAAGTCATGAAATAGGACAGATATGTTCCTCTAAAAATTAATGAACACCAATTTCAAGTGGGCCCTTAGTCTTCCTCCCTCCTCTACTCTGAACCCCAACCTACCTCAGTTTCTCCCTCCCCTAAGTAGACAACATACCTCCTTCTTCACAGAGAAAATAGAAACCATAAAATCTACCTATATTTGCATGTTATCTGTTCCTTTCAGTTCCTTCATTCCAGTTTCAAAACAGATTTCTCTCCATTAGCTAAAGCTAATCCTCTGCCTTAGATTCTATTATCTCCTGCCATTTTAGGAACCGTAAATCGTCAATTAGCTTTTCTCTCTCTTATATAATCAACTTCCCTTCTCAATAATTCCTCCCACAGCTTTTAACTGGGTTTAAGTCTCTCTATCTCAATCAATCAATAAAAAGTATTAAATACTCTTTCCCTCAACACTCTATCTCATTCCAGCTACCAACCTTTCTCCTCCCTCTTCAAGTCAACATTTTCACAGACTCCTCATTTCTCAAACCATTCCAATCTAGCTTTAGTAGCTTATCATTCCACCAGAACTACTCTTGCTAGTATCACTCATAACATTACTGTGCTACTAAATCAAATAAGATTATCCAATTCTCACTGTATTTGCTCTTATAGTAACATTTCACAATGTTCATCCTTCTTGAAACTCTCCTCCTCCCTCATTCATTCTCCAGGTACTCCTTCAGCCTCTCTGGCTGCTCCATCTTGATCTCCCTAATAGCCTCTGCCACTACATTCTGCCTCTCTCCCAGTGCCCTAGCAACACTTCTTCAAGAACATGTTTCCTCTAGCCCTAAGGCTAGTGCACATGCTCTTCTCTCTGCCCAGAATATTTGTGTGTTTCACTTGGTAAAGTTAAGGCTCTGGATTATCACTTTAGTCATCTCCACTTCAGAGAAGCCTTCCTTGATTCCTCCCCGTGCCAGATTAGGTCAAAGTTTCCTAACCTTTTTTTCCTTTTCTTTTTAGGAAGAGGAAGAAGGAGGAGGCAGAAGTTTTTACTAATCACAATGTGAAATTGACATGACATGGTATTAGAACTGAACCAGGATAAATAATACTGTTATAAAATTTACATTTCTCACATCCATTTCAGAGGAAAATATATTAGGATTCTTCTTGATCTGATGGGCTGGTTTCAGTAAAATAATTTATTAAAATAGTAAATAATATATTTTCTCAAAATGTGCTAAGAAGTTACCAGAAAGGCTACTATAAAATCTATAATGATAACAATTGACAGGATTAGGACTGTTGTGTAAACATTAAGAACTATTTCTCTCTTTTAGCTGTTACATCAATGCACCTTTTTCACTGGTAAGGCAATTGTTTGCTGTAGGTGCCACATCATTAGCAAGTTTCTTCTTAAGTAACATATACTCAATTGTTTAAGACTGAAGTGAGTTTTCTTTTTTAATTCTGCCCTCTTTTGGAGGACAAGCAAATATCGTTGTATATAGGTAGGCAAATATTATGAAATGCAGCTGTTGTAATCTTCTAAATTTTATTCCCTCAAAATTAAACAGGGGCAATTAATAATTATTAGGGAAAAGCCTTTGAAACACTTCAGTTTTTTAAATAGCAAGGCTTCTCAATAACTTCTCAAAATTAACTTTCCATTTTGGTACATGACCTGATACATGGCACATTTGATCTGTATTTAGTAATTTATTCTATTGACTACACTATTCCTTCAATAAGAGTTAATGTTGTGGTTTCATACAGTTTTTACAAATAATAAATTTTTTAAAGTTTCATTTCACTGAACTGAGGTTTTTTTCACTCATGTACCTGTGTAAGGTAATTTGAGCACACACATATTTGCATACATATTTTTAAAGTAAGTTACTTTTACCATTAAAATAAAACAGGGACAACTACGGGGAACAGTTTGTCTTCCTTAGAAATCCTTTTCTAGGTTGAGGAGGGCAAGTACAGTTTGCTGAAGGATTTGATGACGCTGTAGCCTTTCCATCATCTGTTAATCCCACACTGCCATGTGTTACCACCACAGCTACATGAATGTCTGCTTCCTCAGCAGCACTAGCCTTTAGAGAAACGTCTGTCAGAAACAGGATGCTGTTGACTGAGTACCCAGTGCTGCCTGCAATCTTTCAATAACTCTTACTCTCCACTTTGTGCCCAATCTTGGTATCAAAGTAACTATGAACAAGCTCAAGAATATCTTCCTCTGAAGAATGCCCAGATAACAGTTTCTGTGCCTCTCCATTCCCTGAAGAATAGATATATACCTTCATTCCAGCCTCTCTCCATTTCCTAACTGCTAGAACTACATCTTCAAAAAATGCTGCTTTCATGGATCCACCTGTGAAAACTGCCCTCCACATGTAGCCCTGCAGGTGTTTCAGTACCATGGTCTTTCAGTCCAGCATTACCACAGCCTGGGTCATCTACCCCATCCCAGTGGGAATAGTCTTCAGCCTGTTTCCCCAAAGACTGAGGTCCTACTGGCACTCTTTTTCTTTCCAAGAGAAAAGAAGCATCTTTGTAGATACTCTTAACATTTTCTTTGATGTAAGAAAATAAAATGTTCTTCACAAAAGCAAAGCAATCAACCTTGTGGTACCTTCAATATCTAACAGGATCACAGTGACTTTGGTGGGCACTTGCTGGGTACTACTATGATACCCTTGTGGTTGGAAGAGCGGAGGGTGGTGGGAGCTGTACCCCTAGAACCAAGCCGTGCTTCTCACAGCCCTCCATTAATCTCAAAGCTGGCAACTGCCTGCAGCCAGAAGCACATCTGGGAGAGGCTACTTCCATGCACCTGGAAGTAGAGAAGGCAGCTGCCCCTAATATGTTTTTACAGTTCTATATATCCTTCCTTTGTAGCATATATCACAGTAATTGTACATTAATTTGTTATTTGATTAAAGTAAGACATCTTCATTCAACTATCAGTTCCAAACACATACAAATTCTGCTGGGTTTTGCTTACCATTATATCCACAGAACCTATCACAGTGCCTGTCACATAGTAGAGGCTCAATAAATATAGTCATGCATCACTTAACGACAGGGATATGTTCTGAGAAACGCATCGTTAGGTGATTTTGCCATTGTGCAAACATCATAGAGTGAACTTACACAAACCTAGATGGTATAGCCTACTACACACCTAGGCTGTATGGTACTAATCTTACCAGACGACAGTTGTATATGTGGTCCATCACTGACCACAACATCGTTATGCAGCACATGACTGTATTTGCTAAATGAATGAATGAATAAAGACTTGCTAGACCTAATCCAAGATTTATTTCTATTTTACCATAATCATTTGTCTGGTGATCTCTTGCAAATTTATAAGGACTGACTAAGCAGAATTCCTCAGTGTGGCAGAAATAGGAATGACCAAGAATTTTATTGTTATAAAGGATGTAGCTGATAAATATACTAAGAACTTATATCTCCCAATTTTGACCAAGTTTCTGGTGGAACTAATCCAGTATGTCAATATATCTATCTTTTCTGCCTGGCAACAATTTGATAGATTTTTGAATTTTATAAGCAACGAACTACTGACTTGATTGTTACAGATGACTGCAATGCAAGATTGGCAAGTGTTCTAATAAAG